GGATGAGATTCGCGCCAGTTTGCGGTCCTCGAGAACCTCCTGCGTGGCCAACCGCTAACCATCCCCAGCGCAGCCACCACCGATCTCACCCCACAAGCAGCCCCCAACCCACACTATCCTCACAGAAGAAGGTAAACGGTGTCACGCGCCGTAGATCCCTTCCCTCCCCGCCCCTCTTCTCTGGCTGCCCCGTTTTTGCTTTTCCTTTCTTTTCTTTTCTTTTCCTTCCTTTCCTTTCCTTCTTTGCTTGCAGTTGTTGAGTTGCTTCCCCGCTCCCCTCCCCTTTTTCTCTTCCTGGATATCGTCTTCCATTTCTCTATCCCTCTCAAACTCTCTTCTTTCTTGTCCCTGTGTCTCTTTCTTCCGCCTTCTACATGGGCAATTACTTTCCTTGTTGTTGGTTGCCTGTTGTTGTCTGTTGTGTTACCTTTGTTTTTCTTGTTGGCTCCTTCCTTCCCGCCCTCAACTTTTTTCCAACGCTTTTCCATCCCCGTGTCTTCTTCCTCTTGCCTGCTTCTGCTTTCCTCGCCCCTGCCAACACTTTTCAAGCCCCGCGTGCAGTGCTGCTGGATGCCAGCCCCAACTCGCTGGTTTTTCTTTCCTTTGCCTTCTTGCTAATTGACAGCACACCTCAACCCCCCACCCTTATTTCCCTCCCAGTCTCGTGCTTTTCCCCAAATCAATTTTGACATGATGCACACAACACAAGACACGCTCGGCAAAGGTTTAGGCAAAACACGCCGGAACAGCCACATCCTCAATGGAAAGAAAAGAAGCCGATTGTGGAGGTAGCACCAGCGTTGAGTTGAGTTGATGACGCTCGCCTACTAGCGTCGGCAGCTGCATGTAACTGTACTCAAGCATCTCACCGTTAAGCTTGACCTGTGTACCTGCCGGCCCCGCTGGCCCACTTTCGAGGACAAACACCGATGCCGTGGCGTTGGCCAGTGAGGCAGGAAGACCAACACTTTGAGGTGTCTCAGCCAGGTTGAGAAGTAGAACCGACACAGTCACGGGCGATGAGTGGAGGTTGTGAACAAACGGGGATTGACGCGTTGATCCGCAATGAGCATAAAAGCGGACGCTGCCCTCGGGCGAGGTGGCGTTGAGCACCGCTGTCCCCATGGTCGCGCTCCAGAGTAGGCTGGCATAAAAGTCGGGCAACGGCTCGTGCGTTGCACAATCGAGCAGACCATAATCGATGCCGATAAAGTTTTGTCGACAAAACGCAGCATACCCTGCGGCCGCCTTGGCGCCAAGGGCATCCAGATACCTACACTCCAGCAGCCGTGTGGGGGTCACAAGCCGAGGCCATTTGTGAGGGTGTCCTGACCGTCGGCTGTGGCCCACACACACACACAACACACACACACACACAAACAAACACACACGCGCGCGCGTGCTCGATAAAGTCATTGCCCCCTCTCCAAGCTGTGGAGTACTGACCAAAAGACATCGGCAAAGGTGGCCCACCGCATGGAGGAATGGTTGCAACCAGGACTGCCCCCGTTGTGGGGACCAATCTCGCCAGCTATGGGAAGAAGCCCAGCACTGACGCCACGGACGGTGGCATTGACGGCTCGACCAATTTGGCCTGTGCGATCCAGCAGCTGGGGATCAAAGCTGCTGTTAACATCCACCTCTATGTATCTATAACGCGGGAGAGAAGAGCACAACGAGCCGCCCAAACCATCGTGAGACGAGAGAAACAAAGGTCAGCATTGATGCCGGGCGTGCCGAGCAACACTCGTGTAAAATAAAAATAAAATAAAATAAAAGTCAAAAAAGAAGAAGAAAGCTCGGTTCATGAAGAAAAAAAAAAGGCTTAAAGACGGGCATTTGCGGGTTGGACGATGACTTGCTCGTGATGGGTGACGGCATAGAGGTCGACGCCCTGTTCTAGAGCCGATTGCGCAAACTTTTGCAAAAAGGTCAAAGTGCTCTCCTCCACGTCATGGAAGCTATGGGGATCGGGTCCAAAGATCTGAATTCATCAAATCAGAGACGCACCACCTTGATGAGGGTATCCCTTTCCCAAGGCGAACCCCTGCATGACGACGATGGAACAGGTTGTCATTTCATGTCATCGTTCCTACCTTTGGGCGTGTTGCCGTGGCAAGGCTTTGGTTGTCGTATATTTTGTCGAGCAGTTTGTGTAGGATGGCAAAGTCTGCGGCTTCTGACTCGGGCGAATAGTTGTCGTTTTGTTCGTTGCCAAGCTCAAAGGCATAAAACTCAAACCCCAGGGCAAGGCCATGGCGGATGAGGACTTCGGCAGGGGCGGGATCCCACCGGCCTTCGGAGGTACGATAGGCAATGTTGAGGCCAAAGACCAGTTTGGCACCGGCGGCATGGCTGAAATTGAGAAGATTGACAAAGAGCGTCTCGTTGAGGCAGTAAGGCGCGCCAGCACAGCTGAGGTTGCCAATGCCGTAAGTAAGCTCATCGTTGCCCGTGCCGCCAAAGCGGAGAAAGCCGGGGAGGGAGGCGGCGGCAAGGTAGTGGAGCTCGGGATCGGCAAGATTGCGCTCGAAAAATTGGCGATTGGCCGAGGAATCAATGTTCCAAGAGTTGTATTCGGGCAGCGTGATGGTCATTGGGGCACCCACATCGAGGGTCAGGGGCATGGCCCGATTGGCGGCTGGGCCTCGTCCCGAGATGGCGCCAGTCTTGTTGGTGACATCATCATCGGCTGTTTTGAGGTAGCAAATGCCAACGTCGGGTTCAAAGGTAAAGGCCGCGCAGGTGGAGGTTTGCTTCATGCAGAGTGCGCAGCAATCGCTGGCCGTGTCGACGGCCTGACGCTCATAGGTGACGGTGCTGCTTCCAATGATCACGTCGTGCTCCAAGTCGCAAGAAGCATTGGGATCGTGCCAAGCCGAGCTGCCAATTGCAAGACAGCCAAGCACAAACAGTACCAGTACGCAAGTCCTGTCGCACGTCTAGCGAGCGCGGAGTCAGTGGCAAACCCAACGGTGAGTGAGTGCAAGCGTGGCGCTGATCCAAGGCCGCGTGATACCTTCCTCTGGTCATCCCGATCTTCCCCGGCGGGTCGATCCCTCTCCACCTCTTGATTCGTCTGTTTTGCCCCATCTCTTTTCGCGCATGCCGTACCCAATCCCGGCTTGAACCAGATGCACTGTCGCCATCGCCATGTCCCCATCCCTCCATCATGTGCAGAAACAACCAAAACCAGACAATCACCTCGTCACCCTAGTCACCTACCCATCGAGACCATTCAATCCCCCTCATCACCCTCATCACCCTAACCATCCAGTCACACCCCCCCTGCTAGCCATCCAGCATCCAGTCAACCCCTTGCTAGCCATCCGGCATCCAGTCAACCCCCCTGCTAGCCATCCAGCATCCAGTCAACCCCCCACCCTTGCTAGCCATCCAGCATCCAGTCAACCCCCCACCCTTGCTAGCCATCTTGCCGTTGATCAGTGTGTGTGTGTGTGTGTGTGTGTGTGTGTGTCAGAGAGGAGCGCCAGCGCCAGAACTCACCCCGGTCATCTTGAGGATGAAATGCTGACAATGGCTTGAATAATGTATTTTACTTTATTATACGAAGTTGCCTTGAACGCTCTCTCTCTCTCTCTCTCCCTCTCTCTCGCTCTCTCTCTCTCTCTCTCTCTCTCTCTCTCTCTCTCTCTCTCTCTCTCTCTCTCTCTCTCTCTCTCTCTCTCTCTCTCTCTCTCTCTCTCTCTCTCTCTCTCTCTCTCTCTCTCTCAAACTATCCCTCTCTCTCTCTCTCAAACTATCTCTCTCTCTCTCTCTCTGCATTTTTTTTTCCGAGTCCGATTCAGTGTCGGGGAGGGCACAAGACCGTGGCCGTGATCGTGACCGGGAGCAGGACCTAGACCAGGGGAAAAGGACGAGGGCGCGGGCTTATTTAGGGACTGAGGTTATCAAGGGTTGAGCAGCGGAGGTGGCCGGGGGGTGGGTGTGATTGCCGTGGACGTGGACGTGGACCTTCAAACCATTTCAAATCGGTTCGTCTCGTTCTATACAAGCAGCAGTTGTACGTGTCCTCGAGACGCATTGCCCTCTGCTCCCCGCCCCGCCGACCTCGCAAAGGCCTATCCACCAAGCCAAGGATACACGCGCAACGTACTCTGACTCTTCCTCCTTTGTATTTGAGCTCTCATCTGCACCTGACTTCTTTCGACCAAACGTGCGACACCCACCCCTTAACACACAGTGGGCCGTTGCCGGCACGGCTCGGAGGAACAACAACATGTCATCCGTACCACTGGATATGATGAGAGAGGCTCTCACGCCTGTTCGCGGCGAGACCAACCTACCTCGCACAGCCTCGACACCGAGCCACGATGCCTTTGGAAGTCCCGAACTGACGCAACAACACAAACAGGCCCGTGTCTGGCAAGCCCTCTGCACTGCCAAGCAGCAACCCGTCTTGAATTTGCTTGAGCAACTCGAGGCCACCATGCCCATCGATTCCAACAACACTCAAGATGTTTTTCCTCTGCATCCTCTCGGGAATGAATGGGTACGCTGAGATGCTCGGCCTTTGACGCGATCCTGGCACCCTCACAAGCCTAACACAACTCTATCCCTGCCTGCCTGCCTGTCTCCCTCCCTCCCTCTCACCCTGCCTGCCTGACTATTGCTCAACCTTAGCTGGGACGCACCTATTTACACGTGGCTTGCATGCGCGGCCAACCGAAAGTGGCTCGTCGCCTCCTCCAACTTGGTGCACCACTCGAGGCTCGAGACAAGGTGGGCCCAGCCATCACCGATCGTGTGGCATGTTTTTCGAGCTTCCTGACCGCTTCCCTCTCATTCAGTCCTGCTCCGGCCCCGCCTTGCTTCCGCAGCGAGGCTTGACACCGCTGCACGATGCCGCTATCAATGGTGATCCCGTCACGTTGCACCTGCTATTGCAAGCCAAACCCAACGTTCATGTCAAAACCCAGGTCGGCCTCACTCATATCCATCGTCCAACTTTGACGAGCGACTTTGGCCATTCCGATGGTCCTCCCATATTGTTGATGGCTTCTAAAGTCCTTTGAACACAATGTATTGGCCATTTAGAATGAAGAAACGCCTCTTCACCTGGTCAGCACAAAAGGTGCCGCCGTCATGCTTTTGGATCTTGCCTTGGACCACCTCATGTGGCAAGACTCGGTCCGTGCCTTTGCACACCACAACCTTCGGCAGCGCATGCTTAAAGGGACCATGACACACGCCACTTGTAACTCTCAACCCCTTTCCTTTACAATTCTTATCAGGAGGGCAAGACAGCCCTGGACCGAGCCGTCGAACGGCAGACTGAAGACGTGGTGCAAGTGCTTTTGGAAGCAGGCGCCAACCCAAATTCCATCTCCAAGGTGGGGCGACTGAAGCCTCAACGCATCAAAATAAATACACGGGAAGCACCTCACGGAAACCCAAGACTCTGTTTCAGGGCTTCATGCGCCATGCAGCAACTTGCATCTCATTGTCCGTCTCCCCACGCTGTCTTGGCAGTCAATGGAAACCAGTTTGCATCGTGCGTCCCGCTTGCAAAGTGCACAGATCCTCAAGCTCTTGTTGCAATACCGCGCTGATTTGACCATGACCACCAAAGTGAGAAGCTCAAACAGGATGAAATTCAATACGGGTTGTGAGACTGACTGGACGAAAGCTCGCCTTCTCAACCCTGGCCTTGGCATTAGGGTGGATCAACGCCTCTGCACCTGGCCTGCTACAACGATCACAGCGAAATGGTCAAAGTTCTACTTGACGCCGGCGCCAATGTATCGGCCGTTGACCAGGTACCACCAGCTCCAAACGAGGCATCATTCCTGCCTGACCCGCAAATGCCAGTGGGCTTCACAATTCTCTTCCGCTTGCCAGCATCTCACCCGCCGATCCTCAATACGTGGGACAAACTAGTATGGTGTTGCACCCATTCATGTGGCCAGCAAGGGTCCACTGGAGGCCGGACCAGATGGCGTGTTGCAGCGCTTGCTTGATGCTGGCGCCGACCCGAACATGCAAACTCCCGAGGTGAGTGGACACAACAGCCCTACAGCAACGGAACATCTGCCTGCGCACCCTGCGCCGCGATTTGACGCCTGTGCATCTCGAATCATGCAGGATGGTAGCAGGCCTCTCCATCTCGCCGCTTGTCAAGGCAACGACAGCAAAATCATGACCCTTCTCCGTGCAGGGGCTCGCCCTGCCGTTTCCAACAAGGTGCCTCTTGTCGGAAACATTGGGATTGATATGTTGCGTAAGGCCTCACATTGCAATTGCACCGTCCCCATTTGGCCTTCTGCACGCTAGGCCGGCATGACGCCCCTGCGTCACTATGCGCTTGGTGCACGGCATCATACGGTATGGCGTGACATTAGACCCTTTGGCTTGTCAATGCACCCTTTCACGCCGAGCCTGTTGATGCTGGGGGCCTTCGAGTCAGGAAGCAGCTGTACGTTCGATTGTTACCCAGATGTATCTCGCTGGTGCCGACGAGCCCGTGCCAACGGCCCTCATCACCTTTGGTACGTGGGCTCTTGAGACATGGCTCGCCCCTTCTCTCCCTCCCTCCCTCTCTCTCTCTCTCTCTCTCCCTTTTTCGCTTCGTTGCAGAAAAACTCATGTTCACGTTGAAACTCCTTACAAAGGTGAGGATGTGGTCCGCGATTTGAACCACATCCGGGCCAATGCCATTGCCAAGCGCCTCGCTGCCCTTTTCATGGTCGGCTGGAAGCAAGAGCCCAACCTCTTCACCCTCCTTGCACTCCGGGAGCTTCCAAGCTGCTGGTACAATCGGGTCTGACTATGACAACCCACCCCTGTCGTACATGAAATACTGGACTACGACAACGAAATGGTGCAGATAGCACCCTAACAGAGAGACAGATGAAACCCTAACAGAAAGATGGAACCCTAACAGAGAGACAGATGGATTTACATGCTTAAACGAATCATGATCATAGACCACGATGGCTGTCGGCCATGTTAGCATAATTGACAGAAAGAGAGAAGCTTCTCATGGATGGCTCTGGCAGCAGATCGGCACGGCGGTGATTTGATAAGATCAGCTCGTGGAAAGGGACCAAAGCCATGCATGAACAACACCCATGCTGCCTTGCATGCAAGCGTGGATGCTTCATAGTTTTCGCGAAAAGGGATCAAGGGTGGTGCGAGCGTCAAATCCGCAACTCCGCACTGGGCCTCTTCACGCCGTTGAGCCTGATAGGTGGACTCGAGCCAAGAAGAAAGCGACCGTTTTCACTGAGCAGTCTGATTTGAGCTACCTGGATCGCTGCGGGGCTCACTGTAATGTGCTCTCACGGCGACGACGAGAGCTTGGTGGCTATTTGCGGTCTTGTTTGCGGATGGCACGATCGAGGCCATGTCCTGTGGTCAAGCCTCGGGCAGGTACTATAAAGTCGCGCCATGCTTTCATGTACAGTCAGGAGCAAAAGCCTAATCTAACTCGAAAATGAGTTGAGAAAGAATGTATGGATGCAAAATGCTTTGCAGGTGGTTTTCATGGTTGAAATCACCTCGACTCAGTTCCATTCTGAGCTCGCCTTTTGCCCGCTGCCCAAAACAGGAAAGAAACCTCGGAAAAAAAAAAAAAACTCGGATGAAATTACCTAAAAATTACGAAAAAATCACACACACACACACACACACACACACTATAAAACAGGCAAGAACAACAGTTGTGGCCTTTTTTTTTCAAGTGCTCACGGACCACGATGGAGGCGAACGCGCTGTTTGATCTTGAGGAGCGATGCCGTTTGGCGGTACGTGACACGGGGTGCAGGCGAATGCAGCACTGGTTGGGGGTGGCTTGTGATGGGCAGGGCTAAAGGGGGTTGATTATGGTGGGGTCGGGGGCGTTCTGTTCTGGATGGTCTTTGTCGAGGAGATTCAGGGTTAAGGGTTTGAGCTGTGTGCACCACCACCACGTGACTGCGAGCGCGAGGCATTTGGAGTTCGGCCAGGAACGAAATGCTTCATGGGTGACCCTTTCGTTTTGCCTTGTTGTAGGAGCGTACCATCAAGGAGCTGGAGAAGGAGATTACGGATGTCACGACCGGACGCGTCGATGAGAATGCCGCTAACCCAGCTCTGCAAAACGCCATTGCGCAAAACCGAAAGCTCAAGTATCAGCTCGAGCAGCTCACCCGCGTACGTGCCTGCTTGCCCTCTGCCTGTCCATTGGCATGGCGCGCTGGTCATCTTGCCTCATCGTGCGCAATGATGAAAACGCTGATGTGGACGATGTTTGTTTCTACCGGCCCAGGCTATGGAGGCGGCTTCTGCGCCCAAGGCGGCCAAATTTGCTCTCAAGTAAGACGAGGGTGACGTTTTTGCTTGTGAACTCGGATGTGCGAGAGATTCGTTCCCTACCACCGCAATCTTTCTGCATCATCGATGCAGAACTCGATGGTTTGATCGGCGCGTCCCTTTTTCATTCGCCTTTGCACCTCTCTGTGTGGCAGGGACTCGCCCAACCACAGCTTGGACCTGATGAGCGTCATCGTCGAGCTCGTGACCGCGGGCATTCGTGCCGCCTTCCCCCAACTTGGTGAAGAACCCGTGGATGCACTTGTCAGCGTCCCCTCGGTATGGCCTTTTCGTATGCCACCGCAGATTGGAGTAGTTCTTGTCTTCCCTTCTTCTCGTTTCCTGCCCATGCTCACACCAAGTTATAAAACCCTTTGCTGCCACAATCTTCAGGGCAAGGTGTCCACGGATGCCATGTACCAGAGCAACGCTGCCATGCGCCTGGCGGCTCAGCTCAAGGCCAAGGGCACCAAGATGCCGCCACGTGAGGTGGCAGCGGCCTTTACTGCTGCCATCCCCAAGAACGACATCATCTCCGGCTACGAAATTGCTGGCCCGGGCTTTGTGAACATTGACATCAACACCTCCTTCCTTGAGGGTGTTACCACCAAGGTCACCCTTTGCGTCCTGTTGCCTGGCTCTTTGGCACTTTGATCCTCAATGTGGCATTTTTATACTGGGAGGCATTCTTATTCAAGCCTGAAGACATGCGCCTCACTTTTGATTTTTTTTTGTCTTTGATCCCGTGCAGCTGCTGAACAAGGGCGTGCTGCCGCCCGAGCACACCAAGCAACCGGTGATTGTTGACTTTTCCTCGCCCAACATTGCCAAGGGTACGATGGGTCCTTTGGCCATGAACAGGCGTGTGGGGGATGACCACATTTACATGTCTCACGAAACAATCTCATTTCGCACCGTTCTACAGAGATGCACGTTGGTCATTTGCGTTCGACCATCATCGGTGAGAGCATTGCCCGCATGTTGGAGTACATTGGTCACGACGTGCAGCGCGTCAACCACGTCGGTGATTGGGGCACGCCTTTTGGCATGCTTATTTGCCACCTGCGTGACAAGGTATGGTCGCTGCCGCCTTGACCGCCTTGGTACGCTCGCATTTATGCCGCGACTATTTCGCATTTGTTGATCAATTTTCTTTTCTACTCCGCAGTTTCCCAACTTCCAGTCCGAGCCTCCGTCGATTTCTGATCTCCAGGGCTTTTACAAGGCGGCTAAGAAGCGCTTTGATGAGGAGCCTGAGTTCAAGCCCCGCGTTTATGAGGCCGTTGTCAAGCTCCAAGCTCACGATCCGGAAACCATTCTGGCCTGGAACCTCGTCTGCGACGTGTCTCGCCGCGGTGCGTGCGGGGTGCCATGTCTCTTCAAGCGCCTACCTTCATCATGCTTGCTACACCCGCAATTAGCACAGTCTCACCTGTTTGTCCTTTCGTCACAGAGTTTCAGCGCATCTATGACCGCCTGGACATTGATGTCAAGGAGAAGGGTGAGTCCTTCTATCAAGACATGATGGTTGAGGTTGTCAAGCAGTTGGAGAGCGCTGGCAAGCTTGAGGAGGATGACACGGCCCCCGGTCGCAAGATTGCTTGGAGTTCCGTTAAGAAGGAGACCAAGGTCCCTCTCATTGTGGTCAAGTCAGACGGCGGTACGCCACGCTGCATGCTTCTTCACACCACGGGTCATGCTTTCTCTCTCTCTCTCTCTCTCTCTCTCTCTCTCTTTCTCTCCGCGTCTATTTTTTGACCCTCATAGCCCGGTGCGGTATGACAGGTTACACGTATGACACCTCGGACCTGGCTGCCCTTCGCTACCGTGCTAGCCAGGCTACCTGGCTGGTGTATGTGGTCGACAACGGTCAATCGACCCACTTTCAGAACGTCTTTGCGTTGGGTCGCGACATGGAGTGGGTGTCACCCAAGCACCGGTGCGTGCCTTGTGACTGTGCTTCGTGCCTTGTGACTCTGCCTCGTGCCTTTGCCCGCACGATTACGACTCGGCTCTTGCCTTGTTCTTTTTCCTTTTTGTTGCGGGGCTGAGGCGCGACAATGCTTCGCGGTAAGGTCTTGCTCACGCTTGGCTGCCTTGCATTGGGGGAGATAGCGTGGATCACGTTGGCTTTGGCGTGGTGCTCGGCGAAGATGGCAAGCGCTTCAAGACTCGTTCTGGTGATACGGTGCGCCTCAAGGACCTGCTGGACGAGGGCGTGGAGCGTGCGGGCGCAGCGGCTCGCACGACGGAGATGACTCCCGAGCAGCGAGCGCGCATGGTTGAGGCCATTGCATATGGTTGCATCAAGTATGCCGACTTGAGCCACAACCGCACCAACGACTACGTGTTTTCGTACGACAAGATGCTGCAGGACAAGGTGAGCTTGTTCAGCACGCTGTTGTTGGGACTGATGTCTGGGTGGTACCTGAGGTTTACGTGTGGTTGTCGTCTTTTCATGGCTGATGCGGTCTGCCTTGGACTTTGTGGGACTGGCGCATTGATTGCAGGGCAACACGGCCGTGTACTTGCTGTATGCCAATACTCGCGTGCACTCGATCTTGCGCAACCCAGAGATTGCCAAGCAGAACATTGACATTGATGCGTTGGCTCCTTCGCACACGGTGACTCTGACGCACCCCAAGGTCAGTTTTGCTCGTCCCGTCGCCTTGATCTTGACCAATGATGGCCCTTGTGCCGGTATGAGTTGACCACATTGGTTGACGTTGGGTGGTGTTATACAGGAGATCAAGATTGCCAAGTATCTGGCTCGTTTCCCTGAAGTGCTGAACCGCACGATCGACGTGAGTCGCTTCTTGTTTTGTTGTGGCTTTTCCGCAGTGTTGCGCTCTGTTGGCTCACTTGACGCTGGCCCTGGTTTTTATTCGGGATGCCTGATCGTTTGGTAACAGACACTGATGCCACATCGTCTGTGCGACTACATCTACGAGTTGACCAACGTCTTTACCGAGTTTTACCAGGAGTGCTATGCTGTGCAAAAGCAGTCCGATGGCGTACGTCCACACATCGCATGCCCCTTTGCTTTCCTTTGCGTTTTTTTTGGGGGGGATTAGGGTAAGGGGCGGACCTTTACATTTTCTTACCTGTCATACCTGTGTGTCCTCTGGCGTGCACACTTGCAGAGCGTCAAGGTGGATGTCAACCGTTTGATGCTGTACAAGTCGGTGGGCATGGTGCTCGAGCAGGCCTTCCATCTCCTCGGCATTCGCGCCATCGAAGCCATGTAAATCACGTGTGATGCATCCTATACCATGTTGGTGCAAATGATGCTGGTTGGGTCTCTAGACATTTGAATCGCAGCTGTACTCCCAAATCCTTCAGGCGGAGAGAAGTGGAAAAGAAAAGAAGCAGAAAAAAAAACGAAAAGAAAAGAAAGAAAGAGAGCTTGAGAGTTGAGAGAGAAAGAGAGAGAGAGAGTTTGTTTGGGAGAGAGAGAGAGAAAGAGAGAGAGAAAGAATTGAATTGGCGAGAGAGAGAGAGAGAGAGAAAGAGAAAGAGAGAGAAAGAGAGAGAGTTTGAGAGAGAGAGAGAAAGTATTGAGTTTGAGAGAGAGAGAGAGAGAGAGAGAGAGAGAGAGAAAGAAAGAGTATTGAGTTTGAGAGAGAGAGAGAGAGAGAGAGAGAGAGAAAGAGAGAGAGAAAGAGAGAGAGAAAGAGAGAGAAAGAGAGAGAAAGAGAGAGAGAAAGAGAGAGAGTTTGAGAGAGAGAGAGAAAGAGTATTGAGTTCGAGAGAGAGACAGAGAGAGTTTGAGAGAGAGAGAGAGAGAGAGAGAGAGGGTGAGGAGGAGCTTTGGATGGGGTGAGGCAGTGGCACAGCGCGGGGACCATGGCAGCGTCTGCGGGAGCGGCGGGTGCTTGGCCCTTTGCGCTGCGCGTTGAGGATGTGAGCTTGGATGAGCGGATACGCTGGGATCATGAGGATGAGGTGCGTGCCCGCGTGCCAGCGTGGATGCTCCCGGCGCGCTTGTGAGCGTGTGCACATGTGTGCGCCGCTCGCTCGCTCACACGCACGTTGGATGCGCAGAGCGTGAGCTGTGTACGGAGTGACGACCAGTTTCTGTTCCTTGGGACGACGCGCGGACGACTGCTGGCCTGTACCCTTGATGGGCATTACATTGCTGATGTTGCACTGTGGGTTTGCACTCGCGTGGCTGGGGTTTTCCCTCCTCCCGCTCGTTGGTGGGTGACAATGGTCGGTACGATTCAACTCGCTCATGCTCTTTACCTCTGCCGCATGGCCGCAGCCCCATTGGTGGTGGCAGCTCTGCTGATGCATGCAAGCTTGTGACCTGCTTGTGCGTTGATGCCCAACAACAACTGGTGGTGGCCGCGACTGCGGTGGGCGAGCTGTGGCTCGTGCAATGGGACTCGGCTTCTGGGTGGGCCTCGCCGCTGCGGCTCTCGACCCCCGACCAGCATGTGCTCCGACGAAGCCCGCTGCGCATGACAAACGGCAGTGTCAGTAGCAACCGAAGCAACAGCAGCAATGGCAGTGGACCGTCTGTGGCGGGTTTGCGCACAGTGCATGCCATCACAACGGCCAGCCGTGTCAACGGTGCTGATCTTGTCGTTCTGTTTAGTCTAAACTACGGCCTCGTACACGCCGTGACAGTGAGCTTTGAAGCCCCGCCCAGCCATCGCTTAGAAAGCATGCCGTACGGAGGCAATGGCTCTGGATCTTGGAGCATGCCATCCGGCAGCTCTGGCCGTCCTCGCGTTGTCTCCGAGTACGTTGTCGCCACGGTTTCACCGGATGTAGATACGAGCGTGGCACCGCCGCTGCGCCACCTCCACGCCGACCAGGGGCTGCTTTATTTTGCGGCGCGCGAACGCGTTTTCACTTGCGAACTGGCAACGCGCAAGATCCGGCACATGTTTCGACCATTCGCTTCATCGGAGTCGAGTGTTGACACTGCGGACACCTTGCCCGGGGGGACGGCAGGCTTGGGCAGTACAGCGCCATGCTTGGGCATCCAAGCTCATGGTAATCGGCTCTTGCTACTGTATCCCGAGGATGTCTATATCATCAACCGGCGTACTCTTCCAGCACAGGCCTTTGACGTGGTTCGCAGCGTGGCCTTGAGCCACCCGCATCGCTTCGCTTGCCTGCTCGGACCGCTGCTGCTCGTGGTCAGCGGTGCCAGCGACGACGAGGTCCGTTCCTTGCATGAGGCTCAACCCGACGCGATCGATCAAGATCCCCCCGTCATGCTGCGCATCTACTCGGATCTTGGGTACTTTGCGAGCAAAAGGCGTTGCGCATAGCTGCCGGTGCGAATCCGATCGTGCAAACAAGAGATCCATTATTCAACTAAAGACATACACCCCCACCCCCTTCTCCCCTCAAGTCATTTGTTGATGCTGTTGTCAAGTCTCACGCGCAGTCCTCCGCTTTGACTCAGGCCGCCTCGTGGCCGCATGTTCCACGTTTGCTCTGCAAGATCCCAACACCAAGGGCTACCACGACTTTCAGGCGACACACATGTTTCTGGCCGCTGCGCGGCATTTGGCGATCGTCCGCCCCATGAGCTATGGGTAAGGTATTAAAGACGCAATGCCGTTGGGTCGATGGGGCCGTCTGCTTGCTCTGATCTCATTGCAACGCGTGTGATGCCAGTGAGCAAGTCGTCGCGCTGTTGGAAGATGGCTTTTACTCGACGGCGCAGCATCTCTGTCAGCAGCGGCTGAATCGGCCCGCAGAACTGAAGGACATATCCAATTTCATTGCCAATGAGTTGTGGCAGCAAGGCCGTTTGCGTGAAGCCATGGCCGTCTATGGAGAGCAGGTGTTGCCTCATGCTCCGGCTGCTTACTGGAAATCCTTCTGTGAAACCTTGCTCGCACAAGACCAGCTGGATTGGGTCCTGCCCTACCTTCCTTTTAACGACAAGGCGAAGGTATTATTGTGTGCTCTAACTGTCGCAGTCACACACAGAACTGGCCCTTGGGCGTGCTTTTGCTCACCCCATCTGCCTACGGGCTCGCCTCGATTAGGTGTCACCGCGTATCTACGAGTTGCTGTTGTTGCGGCCGCTGGAGGTGCGTGTATCTTTGTGCCCTCCTCGTTGATTTCATTTTCAAGCGCCATTGTGCCATGTTTGTTGTTGTTCTTATTGGGCCTCTTGTCAATGGTGAGTTCGAGAATATGTGAGCTCACTGCCAACTTGTGTGGACTTGCAGCGGCAAGACTATCTGACGCTTGCGGCACGCGTATGCCGGTGGCCGGTGATGTACTCACATCAACGGATCTTGGCTGCCGTTTCGCATGCTCTGCGCGAATTGGGATGCCAGTGGAATGAGCTCATGGAGCAGGTGGTGGCTGAGATGACTACAGGCTCTGGCGTGGACGGGATGATAGTTCTGCGACGTGCATTGACCCGAGACGGGGCTGTGGCAGCTGCGCCCCTGTTTTGGCTATTGATGGTGCTGTGGAAGCTGCATCTTTTTGCAGGGCATCATCTTCAAGGCTGGCAGGTTAGCAGATTGCATCCTTTTCTCCAACTCTCTGTCTCTCTCTCTTTGTCTCTCTATCTAGCGCTCTCTCTCTTCTCTCTATCTAGCCCTCTCTTCCCTTTTGTTTCCGGATTGAAGAGGTGGTCTTTTTTCGCTTGTTCTGTCCATCTCACCACGAGTGTCATGGTATTGCTTGTTGCTTGGCCACCGTAGACCATGGCGGTGGCAGTGGTGCTGCGACGGGACATTGAATCCGAGTTGGAGACGGCGGTGGAGGCGTGGGTGGCGGATGACGCCTCTTATCGCCACGCATTGCAGGAAAGCTTGAGCAAGCTGACCATGAATGGTTTACGGGCGGTCAGTCAACAGCCACGGGTGGCTGCCATGGTGGAGCAAGCCATTGCGACTTTGGCCACGCCGGCAGACGGTCTCGTCCCGCCTGCCACACCCGGACAGGTGATATTTGAAAGCAGTTGGACCCCTGGCACGTCTCCGGCTGCCTTGTCAATGACGCGGAGTCCCACGATAGCACGGGCATCTGCAACGAGCATGGTTCCTTCAAGGTCTCCACCAGTTGTTTTGGATGTGCAGGCCGATCAGGGCGGGGAGACATCTGACGTTGTTGGGCCGGCGCAAGCGGAAAGCCCCGGTCCCATGGGTATGGGTGGGCTGTTTGTGACACCCGACTTGGATCAATTGGTATATTCAACTCCACGCAAGGTGACTGTGGACACTGAAGGAGAGATGGATGATGTTGTGAAGCCTTTACCCAGGTGGCCCGAGTTGGGTCCAGGGGTAGCGGTCGGGGTGGCGGCGAACCCAGCTTCCCCAGCACGCCGGCCTTTGTTGAGCGAGGGCGATGAATCAGTGTACTACTCGGCGTTGCCGTCGCCCATCTCCCGGTCTCCGCCCGAAGTGGACGTGGTGGACTATGAGCCAGCCGCCTCTGTCGAGCCGCCGACGGAGCGAGCAACGCGTGCGTCGACCGAGGCACCGGCCATACCAACGCTACGTATGTCTGCGTAGCCCCAGCGATTTGGTGTTGTTGCTATGGCTCTTGTCTCATTTGCTTTGCATTCAGTGCGGGATCAAAGGACCATGTTATGGCTGCGAGGAAGTGGTGGGGAGTTTTGCTTGCGGGGTGACGTGCGAGACTCATTGAATGGTTGGCTTTGTAGGCGTGCAGAGTCAGTGGCTGGCCCTGTTGGCATCTTGGGCGGGCACAGGGGGAGCCCTGAGCCCCGCGTCGACCAGAAGCGAACGCTTGTAGGAGTGTTCAGTTTGGTTGGCCAACTGATTTAATAAGGGTCCAATTTAAGCGAAGCTGAGAGCCGATTTGTTCCCAAGCCCGGAATCACGAGCGCACGGTACAATACACGAATAATGCAAAGAGGACTATCATTGGTGCTTTGCAGAGAGGGAGGGGATGAAAAGTGCCAAAAAGGGCGGCAGGCAGGGGG